CGCGGGGCCGAGCCCAGCCGCCCCATGAAGCCGCCCGCGGCGCAGGGCAGCCCCGCGGCCGCCGCCGCCGCAGGTGAGTGCGGGGTCCCAGGGCCTCCTGAAAGCCCCGAGCCTGCATGCGGGGGCGAGAGAAGCGGGGTCCTGCGTCGTTCCTTTACACCCCGCCACCCTTCCATCCTCGCCGCGGGCCCCTGTCCCCGGGCGCCCGAGCCAGACACGTAGCGCGCGCACCCTGACTCAATGTCCCCACCGCCGCCGGGTTCGCACGCGCCCCCGCGGAGCGAGCGTGGGGACAGCACCCGACGAGGCGGGGGAAAGTTTGGCTGTGGCGATTAGCGTAGTGACCTCAGGCTTGCCACTTCGCCAGACCGAGGCTCAGTTTCCTTATCTGTAAAATGGGCTCCATCATAGAACGGACTTCTAGAGTGGTCGAGAGGATTAAAAGACAACAGGCTGTGACTGCGTGGCTGTCACTTGCCAAACGCGCAGTGAATGTTAGTTATCTTCGGGAATGGTGGCGGTCCCTCCGGGCCCCGGGGAGAGGTGGCCCCCCGACCCCCATCAGCTGAGCCCACCGTCCCTGCTCCCAGCCCCCGCCTTGGACTCGGCGGCCGCCGCGGACCTGAAGGACGCGCTGTGCGAGTTTGACGCGGTGCTGGCCGACTTCACGTCGCCCTTCCACGAGCGCCACTTCCACTACGAGGAGCACCTGGAGCGCATGAAGCGGCGTAGCAGCGCCAGCGTCAGCGACAGCAGCGGCTTCAGCGACTCCGAGAGTAAGTGTGGCCCTCCTAGGACGGTGCCGGCAACGCCTGGATGCCAGTACCTGGCCCGCGAGGGCTTCTCTGTAAACTGAGGCATGGGGTCCAGGGAACTAGGCCCTAACGCTCAGGGCAGTCTCTAGGACGCCTGGAGGGTTGAGTCTCCAGGGCTGAAGGCCCAACACTGGCAGGGCCCCAGAGGGTAGTCACACGGGAAGGCTCTTGGAGGGCGAGCTGGTCTACCTGCCGCCTGCAGCTGTGTCATGAGGCCTGAGGGTTTAAGCAGCTGGTCCCGACTCAGCCAGACAGGACTTCCCGGACCTGGGCCAGGCCTTCCCACAGTTTCCCCTCCTTGCCTCTCAGCTGTAACTTTTCAGAGAATGTGGGACAAGTGCCGCAGGAATGGGGTGTGTGTGGGGGCGCTGGGGACATGGGAGGACACAGTACTGAAATATTTGTGAAACCAGGAAAGTTTTCATAAGCAGTGCTCTTGGGATTTTTGAAATAATTTCTGCGCTTTCTTTTGGCCCTGAACTCCCAGACTTGTTGCTCCATCAAATTTGGTTTTGAAATAATCCCTGGCACTGCTGAGTTTTCCAGTGAGTTAGAAAGTGTCCCTCTTCCTTCAGGCAGGTGCACCACCCAGGCTGGTGGGGGAGCCAGAGAGCAGAGGGACATGGAGGTGCTTCCTGGTGACCTTTCTCACAGTGGAGACTACACCAGGGTCTCTTTGTCCTAAACAGCCTTGTTAAAAGATGAGTTTTGGGCCGGCCAGGTGCTCCCAACAAGGGTTCGGATCCCACATACAGACCGGCCGCTCACTGGCTGAGCGAGGGGCGGGGGCAACACCGAGGGTTGCGATCCCGTTACCGGTCCCGGTCCGGTACGGGCGCGACACTGAGGGTTGCAATCCGTTGCCAGTCACGAAAAAAGACAAAAAAAAAAAAAAGATGAGTTTTTCCAGGAACTCAAATGCCCGGGAAGGTGTCAAACAGCAAATTTGGTGACTTTTTAATATTACATGATTGTTGGTTTTCAAATCATGGATTACTTATTGTTTTTCAAAGTGAATGGTAAACTGTTCTCTGTAATCTTTAGCCTTTAATCCCTAGAAGGGCTACAAGCATGAATGTCACTCCTGCTGCCCTTGACTCTGGAAATGAAAGTAATGGCCTTTCCATGGCATTCTCTTTTTCAGAAATCTGGAGCTGTCCCTGAACAAGAATTGTTCTGAAAAGGGATAAAGACACTCACCACTCTGGTCAGGCTTTGAGTCAGAAACCTGAGTTCCAGCTTGAGGTTTCTTGGCAGCCCTGTCAGAGGTTTAGACTGAGCTGCAGCTTTTGAGATGAAAAGAGTTGGAAGAATGTATTGTTAATCTTCCAAAAATTAGAATTTTTGGACTTTGTTTCTAATGACCATACTGCTCAGTGTCAATTTCCAAGGGATGTCTTAAAACTTTTGAAATTTGTTTCAGTACCTGTGGCCAAACTTAAATATGTCTCCTTCTCCTGGGGCATGGAGCAAGTTATTCATCAAATACAAATTCTCTCCCCATGGAAAAGAAAGTGGGGACAGTCTGTCACTGTTGCTCTGTGGCACAGAATAGCTCCTCTCTGAACCACAGCTTCATTCAGCTAGAATACAGCCTGAGCTCGCCCATGCATGGCTGCTTGCTGCTTCCACTGGGTGGGATTTCAGATCTGGGAGCTATTTTCAGGGACCTTAAAGAGAAAATAGTAGAAACACATTTTTAACAGTTTGGGGGGAGATATTTGGGTTAGTATTCATAGTTTTTCTTTGGGTATATGTATTTTGCTTTTTCTGTTATCTATTAAACTAACCCTTAGTTTGGTGGTTAGAGAAGTAATGGGAAGGGTATAAAGAAAGGTCAGATGACAGTCATCTTTCCTATAAATATGTAGTTTGTCCCCCCAAGACCGGTTAGAAATAGTCTTGGCAGGAGCTGTGTCTCTAAATAGTAGTTTCTTAAGGAAGCATAGGTGTATCTTAATTGCCGCCAAGAACTAAGCACAGACATTTGTTATACTCATTTGTCTGTTTAATGCTTTTCTCTTGAAGCGGTTAGAAATAGTCTTGGCAGGAGCTGTGTCTCTAAATAGTAGTTTCTTAAGGAAGCATAGGTGTATCTTAATTGCCACCAAGAACTAAGCACAGACATTTGTTATACTCATTTGTCTGTTTAATGCTTTTCTCTTGAAGAGAATGCTCGAGAGAGGTAGAGCCTACTGAATTGAAATTTTGGCTCTCCAAAAGGGAGACACAGCTGGATAATGATAATACCAGCAGCTCACACCGACCAATTGTAACTGACCTTACAATGATTACTATTATTATTAGCATAAACTCTTACTGTTAGTGATCTCTTAGCTGTTCTTTGAATGTGTTATCTCATGTAATCTCTACCACAGTCCTATAAAGTAGGCACTGCTATCTTCATTTTTTCTGATAAAATAGCAGAAACACATGGGCTGTCTCTCTAAGGCCTTGCTCTATCCCCATGGATGGTTGGCCTGAATGGAAACCAGGTCCTCAGAAATAGATCAAAGTCCCATTGAGCCTCGGTCACAGGCCTGTTTATCAATGGTGGTTGTTCTTGAAGGTGTCTCTTCAAGGTGTTGTTTATCTGGCAGGGTCAGCAGAGTCCAGGCTGAGACCTGTCTAGGCCCTGGGTGATGAGTAGGCCTCAGTTTCTCTAGCTGTAAAATTGAAAGGATTTAATATTTAATAGTACTATTAGAAACATCCTTAAGCTCCTGATTAGGAAGAAAATATTTGCTCTGTTTAATGCTTTCAGAAAAACATGAAAATGCACATACCGTGCTATATCACACAGATCAGATACAGTGGAACCAGTGTTTCATGTGAAAATGTTATGTATGAAGCTACAGACCAATGTTACCTTGGTTTTCGCTCTACCATTGCGGCTCTGTCTCCCTGAAGGTGCACCAACCTTAGAAGGTAGATCAAAACAGTATTCCTGTTTTGTTTTGTTTTTGTTTTTGGTGGCTGTCCGGTACAGGAATCCAAACCCTTGGCCTTGGTTGTATCAACACCATGCTCTAACCAAGTGAACTAACTGGCCAGCCCTCCTGTTTTTTGAAGAACACTATTTTTTTCTCACTAGGACAAAAATTTAATGTTACTTGCATCCAAAGGAGAAAAATAGACATTCCTTCTTCCACCAAAGAAGCAAGTTACTTAGAGAAGAAGGGGTATTTAATAAGGAAATACTCCTTCCTGCTCCCACTTTCAGGAGGGCCTCCTAAGACATGCAGAAGACCAAAATAACAATTGCAGGATAACTTCCCCTTAGGGGCGGGATTCAAATGGTAGTTGATCAAAATAGGATTGTTTTTTCCCGTAGACTTGTGTACCAACAAGTAATAACAGGCACCTTAGTGGGAGTAATTTTAACATCAGCAGTAAAAGGACAAGGCAATTAGGGCGAGGGCAGTGTTTTTCAAACCTGATCCTCAGAGGTGCTTTAGAAACTGTGTATATCTTTGGTTTGAATTTATTTTTAAAAAATGTCTTTTTTCCCCAGTATTTTCAAAACCGTAAAAGTACACCATGATTTCTCTAATGTGTTTGATAGAATTTTAACTCATTATATATCAAATTTTAACCAGTGTGTTAATTTATGCTTCCCTGGTTTGACTTTATAAGGGTTTAAAATACTAACTTAAACTTTAAAAGGTGCTATAAACTTATATCTTTGATGTATTGGGGTGTTACATACATTTTTCCTTTGAGGGGGAACTGTTTTGCTTCTTAAGATCTGAAGTCTACTGTGTATGCTAGGGCTGTTATGATACTGTAGGATTGTTTTAGGGAGTGAGGAACTGGCTACTTTAGCAGAAGCAAGACTCAGGACATCTTCATGTCTTTGCCTAGACTACTCTGGCCTGGCCCCAGGAGAGGGGAACCTTATGGGCCCCAGGGGACCAGCATGACAGGTAATGTATTGGAGGCTGATCTGGCTCAGGAGCCACTGAGACTGGAACCCAAACTTGTACAAGCCATGAGAGGGTAAGGCCAGTTAGGAGCCTTTGGGATGTCCTGCTACTGTGTTAGGAATTCCGGGTAGGCGGCAGGTCTCGTTCAAGATGTCAAGAAGGATGGAATGTCCCAGAAGGGGAGCTGGGCAACAGTGGTGAAACTGAGAAAGGGAGCTTTTAAAAATTCTATCCCGTGTTAATGAGGCTGTTAGAATTTAGATTTTTGAGGAGGAGAATACCCACCCCCACTTGCCATTCCCTTTGACAAAAGAGAGAGAGGTCCAAGGCTTTCTTTTTCGCAGTTAATTACTATAGTTTTCTTGCTTTAAATGTGTGGGATTGTTCTATATTTACAGGAGCTCTGGGCAAGGTTTCTGTCTGTGGTTTTACTTTCCTCTGGAGTAGCACATGTCAATGCTAACCCTGAATTACCTTTCTCCCAACTCTCCAAACTAAAGAACACACTTACCTTTTAGACAAGCCTCTGTTTTTGCAGCAGAGTTTCTCAAGCTCTGTTAGTGCTCCCTAAGTTAGATGGTTGTATATTTAATATGCTTTTATTTCTTTTAATGGTGTCTTAGAAAACTTGGTCCCAGAATTTGAGGTTTCTGGCTTCCATACACTAAGGAGACTTGCCAAGGACGTTTCTGACGGGGATTTGAGATGCTTGTGAGATGGGGCTTCAGAGCTGATTGAGCAGATGTTGTAAGGCCCTACAATTCCCAGCCTTGCCACCTTCCAAGGTTCCCCAAATCAACACTGTTATGAGTCCCTCAAGCCCCTATTAAGAGCAGCACCTGATACGTGGGTGGGGCAATAATACATGAATATACTATCAGCCAGCGACACATTGCTGTCATTTTATCAGACTAACTGGCTGTTATTTTGCAAGGAATAGAGTTCAGGAGAGTAAAGAGAACAGGAAGTCAGGCCTTCCTTACTTTTTAATCTATCACAATACCTAGCATGAGATTTTGTTCATTGCAGGTTCTTAAAGTCTGTGGGAAGAAATTTTATTGGGTGAAGGGTAAAAAGGGGTCTAGATTTTGGGGTACCTCTGTGTTGGAGGCTTGTTCTTGGGAGTTTTTTTCTAGGGCACCTCTGAAGAGAAACTTCTCTTAAGAATTTTGCAACTCACTGAAGAAGAAGAGAAAGCCTGGGCCCAGGATCTTGATTCCTTTTATTGTCTATGACGACTTTTTCTCTCCTGGGCATGCCATTTTCCATTTTGCCAGGACCTTGAGAATAAAATCAGTAAAACCACGGACATCATTCATGGAGAGCCCAGGCTCCTATCCTCCTCTCGCCAAGGAAGGGACAGAGTGACTTGCACAGGGCCGAACAGTTTTCACGTGGCCTCCTGTGCTACGCACTCTCGACAGTGGTGTAGCTTTGGGGCTCTGGAGGTTGCTCTTTTCACTGTTGTCATGAGTGACATGAAGCGTATTACCGCAGGCTGGTAATATGAACCCACAGGGGTTCATTTCCTCTTGAGGGTTGACGGTTGGACGTTTCAGAACCTGGAGCTGGGTCTGCCCCAGACTGTGCACCTCATGGAAAGAGAGTGGAATTATGGTGTCATACAGCAAGCCAGGGTGTGAGCTAGTGTGTGTGGGCGTGTGGCGGGGGCGGGGGCAGGGGAATGAGCAGATGCCATGCTGACGTGCCTCTGAGTGTGTTTATGTATCTAGATGTAACCAGCACTTTTCCTTCCCCCTCTCTCATTGTGGGAGTAGTGCAAGTTCATTAACAAGAGGCAACTTCTGATCGTTTTAATAGTTTACTTTGCAAGTGAATTTATCAGTCAAGTAAAAGTCAGTTTGTCTGTATGTTTTCTGAGTTTGAGGGAAATACTTGGGTCAAGAGGCATTTAGCATGTGGATCACGCTTTACAGGATCAGCAGTAAACTGGGACCATATTCTGGTACAATAGCTCATTTTCTACAGTCTCCCCAACCACTTGAGTTACCTTGAGGTTTTCCTGAATTCTCACTGGATCCCTTTTTTTTTTTTTCCTGCCATCCTCTTTTGCAATGGCCTTTTCCATGTCTAGATTGTTCCTTCCCTGAAAAACCAATAGCATTTGGTCAACTTGCCAGTGAGAGGACGAGGTTTTCCTGAATTCTCACTGGATCCCTTTTTTTTTTTTCCTGCCATCCTCTTTTGCAATGGCCTTTTCAATGTCTAGATTGTTCCTTCCCTGAAAAACCAATAGCATTTGGTCAACTTGCCAGTGAGAGGAACAAATTGCCCCCCCCCCCCCCCCC